TCAATTGCTAATCATGTTGTAATACATGAGTGTAATGTAAAATGCTGTGCTGTAAGAAACAACAAATATGAGGAATAAAGAGAAACGCGGAAAGACTTAGCTGTACTGATACAAAGTCAATCAGTTAATTAATAAACACTTTATTGAACACCTACTATGTGCCAGGCGGGCACTGTGCTAAGTATTATAGCTACAACGACAACAAAATGATCCCTGCCCTTAAGAAGCTCAAAATGGGGAAAACAAATACATACACACAAGCTTTATACCGGCTAAACAGGAGATGGTTACCCGAGGGAAGGCACTAGAATGAAGAGCAGTTCAGAAAGGTTTGCTGGAAAAGAGGGTTTATGTTTTCAGTCAGAGACGAAGTTTATTAAAACACCGATTGAGGTGGGCAGGATTTTAAGAATCAACCATAAAACATAGGATTTTAGTTGGGACCTAAGCAGAGCTAGGGAATCCAGTAGGTAGAGTGGAGAAGGGAGAACATTCCAGGCAGAGGAGATAGCCAGAGAAAATACCTGGAGTGTCTTGTTCATTGAACAGCCAAGAAGCCAGTGCCACTAGATCAAAAGAGTACACGGTGGGGAGGAAGGTGTAAGAATACTGGAAAGGAAGTGGGGTGGCGGTGGTAACGAAGGACTTTGAACGTCAAGCATAGGATTTTGTACTTGATCGTGGAGGTGACAGAGATGATGCCTAGGTTGCCAGACTGAAGCACTGGGAGGGCACCTAGATGGTATGGTAGATAGAAAACGGGGAGTAAGGAAAACTAAACTGCTCTCTCCAAAGTTACCACTGATCTTAGTCACCAAATCCTTTTCTCAATTCTCATTCTCCTTGACCTATCTGTGACTTTTGACACCAACCTCTCTTCCTTGACGCTCTCTTCTCTCTAGGTTTTCAGGACACCACTCTCTCCTGATTCTACTCCTACACATCTGACTGTTCCTTCCAAGTCTCCTTTGTAGGATCCTCAAATCATACCCTCAATCCATAAATACCCCATATGGTTCTATCCTGGGGCCTCTTCTTTTTTCCCTCTATACTATTTCACTTAGCGATCTCACTCGGTTCTTATGTTTTTAATTGCCATCTCTATGGTGATTATCCTTAAATCTACCTATCCTGCCCCTATCCTCTCTGTTGACCTTCAAACTTGTATCTACAGCCACCTTTTAGACATCTCCAATGTCCAGTAAATATCTTATGCTAAACGTATCTGAAACAGAACTTTCTTTCTCCCCAAACCCTTCCCCTCCTATTTTTGCTATTACTGTAGTTGTTCAATCACTTCAGTTGTGTCAGATTTTTTGTGACCCCATTTGGGTTTATCTTAGCAGAGATACTGGAGTGCTTTGCCATTTCCTTCCCCAGTTCATTTGCAGATAAGGAAACCAAAGCAAACAGGGTTAAGTGACTTGCTTAGGGTCACATAGCTACTAAGCATCTAAGGGGTTAAGGAGAAAGTGTGAGGGGAGAAAGTGGAGGCACCTATTGTATATGGCCTTTTTTGAGGAGTTTAGCTACAAAGTTCTTTTTCGGGGGGAGGACTTTTCTTTTTTTTATTAATTTATTTTGATTTATCAACAATCATTTATATATGCTTTTGAGTTTAAAATTTTTCTCCTCCTTCCTCCCTACCACCCTCCCCATGACGGCACACGATCTGATATAGGCTATACTTATACATTCCTATTAAACGTGTTTTCACTTTAGTGATGTTGTAAGTAAGAATTAGAACCAATAGGAGGAACACCAGAAAGAGGAAACAAAACTCAATGGAAGAGAAAAAAAAATAGCAAATAGTATGCTTCAATCTGCATTCAAATTTTGTAGTTCTTTATTTGGATGTAGATAGCATTTTCCATCATGAGGCCTTTGGAGATGTCTTAGATCCTTGTATTGCTGGGAAGGGTTAAGTTTATCAATATTAGTCATCAAATAACGTGGCTGTTATTGTGTACAATGTTCTCTTGGTTCTGCTCACCTCACTCAGCATCAGATCGTACAAGTCTTTCCAGGTTATTCTGAAATCAGCCTGTTCATCATTTCTTATAGTACATTAGTATTCCATTACATTTATATACCACAACTTGCTCAGCCATTCCCCAATTGATGGGCATGTCCTCAATTTCCAATTCTTTGCCACCACAAAAAGAGCTGCTATAAATATTTTTGTACATGTGGGTCCTTTCCCATTTGTATGATCTCTTTGGGATACAGCCCTAGAAGTGCTATTGCTGAGTCAAAGAGCATGCACATTTTTGTAGCCCTTTGGGCGTAGTTCCAAATTGCTCTCCAAAATGGTTGGATCATTTCACAACTCCACCAACAATGCATTAGTGTTCCAATTTTCCCACATCTTCTCCAACATTTATCATTTTCTTGTTTTCTCATCTTTGCCAATCTGATAGGTATGTTGTGATACCTCAGAGTTGTTTTGATTTGCCTTTCTCTAATCAATAGTGATTTAGAGCATTTTTTCATATGATTATAGATGGCTTTAATTTCTTCATTTGAGAACTGCCTGTCCATATCCTTTGACAGTTTATCAGTTGGGGAATGACTTGTATTCTTATAAATTTGACTTAATTCTCTACATAATTTAGAAATGAGACCTTTGTCAGAGACAGTGGTTGTAAGAGTTCTTTCCCAATTTTCTACCTTCCTTCTAATCTTAGTTACATTAGCTTTGTGCGAAAACTTTTCAATTTAGTGTAATCAAAGTTATCCATTTTGCTTTTTATAATGTTCTCTATCTCCTGTTTGGTCATGAATTAATCTGTTCTCCATAAATCTGATAGGTAAACTATTCCTTAGCTACAAAGTTCTAAAGAGATATAGGGCAAAAATTAGCAGGGATAGAAGGGTTAAGAAAGGGTTTTTTCAGGATGGGGAGATATGAGCATCTTTGCAGGCAGTCAGAAATAAACCTGTAGGGAGGGAGAGATTGAAAATAAGTGAAAAAGTGGGGATGATAGAAGGGGCAATCTGTTGGAGGAGACAGGATGAAATAGGATCCCTTGAACAAGTAGAGGGCTTAGCCTTTATTGTGTGAGACTGGTTTAAAGGAGGAGATAATGACAGAAGGCATCTGAGTGACAGGAGACAAGGAAGAAGGAGGAAAAGAGAGTTCACAGCAAGTGGCCTCAATTTTTTCCTGTAAAATATGAGGCAAGGTTCTTTTCAGAGAGTTGGAGAGAGGGGCATGGGAAGTATGAGGAGAGATGAAAAAGTTTGGAAGAGCTGCTGTGGAGAATGAATAGGGGTTTAAAGAGAGAGATACGGTAAGAGTGCCTCATAGCAGGGAGGGCCCAGTTGAGGTTATATAGCATAAATTTGTAGTGAATCTAGTCAGAATGGTTTTGGTTTTCTCCTACTTTGTTTAGCAGTATATGTGTAGGAGAAAAGGCAATGAATGGTAGAAATGATCCAAGACTGAGGCTTGGCTGGGTGTAACTGTCAATATGATAAAGGGGATAGGGATTCAAGAGACGAAGGAAGACAGAAGAGAGTTGAACTGGTTCAGCAAGGAGTCAATAGAGGGAGGAGAGGAAAGAGAAGCTAATGCAGGGAAATTTGCCTGGGGGAGATTTTAGGGGTCAAGAGGTTAGAGGTTATGATGCAGATGAAGAGTAAGATTATATAAGAGAAGGCAGAAGAGGCAAAAGGCCAATGGATTATAGTCAAATAAGGGGATTTCAAAATTCTTGAATATGGAGGTGGTATATTTGTGAGTGAAGTCAAGATCAAAGGTGAGTGGCTGAGGTGAGGTGGAGGCCTAGCTCATGGGAGGTGAGCAGGTTGAGGATCTGAGTGATTAAGGTGTCTGAGGGAAAATCAACGGTGTGTTGAAGTCCTCTAGTATGAGTTTGTACTTTTTCCCACAAAAGTTCTTCAAATACCCAAATACAGTGATTATATCTGTAACACTGTAAGAATAATTAGCCTATTTTCAACCCACAAGACCATACGATGGCCCCTAACATCAATGTACTTCACATCTCTTCAGCTTTAGGGAGTTTATTTTGGATGAAACATTGAGCTTAGTCACCATTGTTCAGAGCCACTGTTAGGAAAATTCTTAACGTGTAGGCAGAGAACGAGCTCTCCCTCTAACCTTATATTCATGTCTCTCTCTACTTAATTGCTGGCCTCTTTATGTTTAAGGCAAAAGTCAGTTTACTGGAAATATTTGAGAAATGGAACAGCAGATTATATTACAGTGTCTCTGGATAAACAGACACTTGGAGGGGAATGTGTACAATGAGACAATTTTTCTTGGGCCTTTCCTCAGGCCAAGTCTTTTGATGTCTGCCCTTTCTCTACCACGGCTCAATCCTACTTTTTGTTCCTCAGGCACATACTAGAAGGTCACACTCACTCCAACCTCTCTAATGAATCTTTTCTCAATTTCCTTGATGATTTATTGGTGACTCCCAGAGCAAAGTTTCCTCAGCCTATCAGCACACAATTCTTTTTATTGAGTAAACCAATTATGCCATACCTTTTTTTCCTTAGACTTATTTAAAACTTCCTTGGAATCGAAGTTCAGGGTCTTACTTAGGATAACCAAAAAATTTCCCTCATGATTGAAAAGTAAATCAGATTTTGGGTTATGAGTCTAGTTTCCTAATAGTTATACACGCTTACATTTTTATAGTAAATTTATTCTTTTTAAAGGATCTTCATGTGGAGTTTTTCATTTGACCTTCAGGAAATCCTCTGGGAAGTCAGCAGGAAAGAGATAATTTAATAAGGCAACTGAATTCAAGTGACTTGCCAGAAGTTTCATTGCTAATTAGTAACAAAGTCAAGCCTGGAACCCAGGTGTCCTTGTCCTACTCTATTTCCTTTTCCATGATTGCCTAAGATGACCTATAACCTTGGAAAATGAGAAACTTGTGACTGGAATGGGATGGAATTCTCATCAGATACATCTCCTTACCCCTCCCTGCAAGCTAATTTTTTTTTCTTTCATCTTTCTTCTTTAGTCTGATACATCACTGGAAATGATGGGGCATCAGTTAGCTTTGTTCAGTCTTCTTTGGAGAGATGAGAGTGAAGAAAATCAGCGCTGTGCTCGACAATGCATTTTGCTCCTCGTACAGCTCCTGATACATGAAAGTAAGAGCCCTAGATGGGAAGAAATAAAAAATGGGTTATAGTCTGCTCTAACTAACTGTGTGACCCAGAAGTCTATTACCTTCTCTCTCTGTGGACATGAGCTTCCTTGGTTGTCAAATGGGAATGATATTAGTCATTCTGCCTTCATGACAACAGTTGTGATCCAACAACATAATGTATATGACCATGCTTTAAAAGTATTAATTTTTGGGGGGAGAGAACAACTTTGAATGAGTAGATGTTGGAATAAACCCTAGATGGACTGGAATAAAATTTCTGTCAGCTTTCTGTGACTCACTCAGCTACTTTGAGGGACATCCAGGGCCATGGCATTAATGCTTTGAACACTTGAGAATGAGATGAAAAAAATCCAGGGGCTTGGAACCTGTAACAATCCATAGGAGTTCTAGTATGGAATTTAGGTGGCTTGTTATTGTTTGCTTTGAGGGTGAAGCATTGGGAAGTGGAAATTAATTGTGAAGTCCAATTATTCAGTCTTATGAGAGTTGCCTGTGTGTTTGCTGATTTGATGATAGTAACAACAGCCAGCATTTATGTACAGTTAGCTTCTAAGATTTGTGAAATGCTTTACATATGTTACCTCATTTGATCCTCACAACTACCTGTAAGATAGGTGCTTATATTATTCCCATTTTCCAGATGAGGAAACTGAGGCTTAGAGGTGTTCAATGACTTGCCCAGAGTCACACAGCTGGTTAGTATCTGATGCAGCATATGAAATGAGGTCTTCCAATACTCCGTCCATTGAGGTCTTATTCTATCACCTGAAAGAAGCGTTCCAAAGTGCCTCTCCCTGAGGATGTGGGGGTGGGAGGAGGATGTGGTGGATTTCCTTGTTAGATCCAACCTCTTAAGGACCTTTTTGGGTGGATGGGTCTAAAGAAATCCAAAGGGATAAAACTAAGCCACCAATGGGACTGCCATTGAACAAGCAGTCAGAATGGGGAGAAAGTTGTAGGTATGGATATTTATTTATTTTTTAAATTTTGTGTAGATTTCAGTTAACACAGAATCTCACAGCTATAAGGGATCTCAGCAGTGGAGAAGTCAAGAGAGGAGACACCACAGAAAGAAGGAGTGAGGGTTTTAAATCAGATTACATGCTTCTTGAGTCAGGATATTTTATTGTAAAGTAACAATTCCGTTTTGAGATTTGTAACACTTTTCTCCCAATAAACTTGTGAGGTAGGTAGAGTAAATATCATCTCCTCCATTTTAGTGATGATAAAACTGAGATACAGATAACTAGGGTGACTTGCCTGATCAAATCCCTTGTAAGCAGAGCTTGACTCAAGTTCAGATCTCCTGACTCCAAGTACAGTGATCTTGCCACCACTCAATGATTCCCTTCATTACAATGAAGCACCAGTCTGATACCAATGACTATTTTTGTCAAGTGGCCATTAAGATAATCCTAGAATTTTAGAATTTGAAGAAATCTTAGAGATCAGCTAGCTCAACTATTCCATTTCACCAGGATGGAAACTGAGTTTCTGGGAAGGGAAGTGTTTTTCTTATACCCAAATAGTGTTAGAATCTATATAAGAACTCGACTGTCATAGACCCTCTGAATTGGAAAGGATCTCAAAGACCACCTAGTTCAACCCCTAACTGAACAGCACTTAGAGTATTCCAGGATGTGGTCATTAAGCCTTTGCCTAATGGCCACATATGAGACCCTGGAGGAAGACCTTTGGTCAGAGGAAACCCACTGCCTCCTAAGGTAGCCTATTCTAGTTTGGAACAATTAATTGTTACGGAACTTTTCATTATTTTGAATTTAGATGTCTTTTTGAAGCTTCTGCCTTTAGCTCTTACATTTAACCAGAAAAAAAAATCTTTTCCTTCAATATGTCAACCTTTAAGCATTTGAAGACAACTATCACGTCGTCTCAAGTCTTCACTCCAGGCTAAACATCTCAAGCTGTTTAAACAGTTTAAGTGGGGTGTCCCTTCTAATAATCCTCCCACCATCCAGCTTGCGCTGTTCAGCCTACACTTCAATTTTCCAACGTCCTTTTTTTCAATATGGCATCTGAATTTTCCAGTGAAAGTATCTCAAACATACTTCTTTATACTAGGGACTGAGGAAAACAGTAAGTGCCTATATACATCGAAGCAAATGAAGAATTTGGACATGAAGTTGCTGAAGGAAGTGAATAAAAATTGCTCCCATCTAGTAAAGGTAAGTATGTCCAGGCTATGGGGCTTCAGGGAGACAAGGAGATAAGAGGACCATGATGTCAGGATGTGTGGGCTTCCAGCCATAGATTCTCACACCATATCAACTGGCAGAAACCTTAGGGCTCATCTAGTCCAACCTCCTACCTTGACAGAGGAGGAAACTGGGGCCCAGAGAAGTAAAATGTGTTGCCCAAAGTCATGCATGGTGCTTGCCTTAGAATCTCAGATTTTAAGGGACTTCAAGGGGTACTCAAGTATCATCCCTTGCCTGGAGCATGGATTCTTTTAATGACACCTCTTACACAGTGTTTATACAGATTCTTCTTGAACACTATACTCCCTCTTGAGATAGCTCACTCTAACTTTGGATAGCTTGAATTGTTAATGAGCTCTTTTTTCATGTTGCACTGACATTGTCCTTCCTCTAACTTCTACTCCTTGCTGCTTTTCTCAGGGGGCAAGTGAACTGATTTGCTCCTTCTTCCCCATGATAGTTATTCAGGTATTTGAATGCAAAGACCATGTTCCTCTTTCTCCCATCTTCCCCTTCTCCAGGCTGAACATCTCCCTTCCTTCAACTAATTCTTATATAGCATAGTTTCAAGTTTCTTGTCATCCCTGTCAATGGCAGAAGTTGAGACTAGACCCTAGGTTATCTGACTCCAAATTCAGTGTTCTTCACAATTCCTCAGCTTGCTTCAGTTTCCTTATCTCAATCTTCTTCCATTCTGATTAGCAGCATCTTTGTAGTAGGAAGCATACTACTTTGAGTTAGATAATTTGTTCTGTGACCTGAGGTATATCTCTCGGTTTTGGTTGACACAATTTCCAAGGAGTAGGTAAGGGCCTTGAAAGTAGTGAACAACTGAGGATTGGTGTCTAGAAAAAGTTTCTGACTGGAAGAAACAGTGAATACAAAAAGACATTTAACAGCTAGGAAACATTGCTACCTGGATGAGGGCTAGGGATTCTCAGAGAACTAGCTGCTTCTGCCCCTTTTGTGGGTGGCAGGACTTTATTCATTGGTCTAGGTGTGTGACATCTGTAGATCTATCCAAATTGTCTCTTGGCTCAGCCCCCACTCACTAGAAACTTTTCCTTCTTCCCTTCATGCTGCATTTCAGCAAAGTCAGACTAGCCACATAATGGTATTGATCATAGAAGGAAGAAAGGAAGGGAAGGAGGGAAAAAAGAAAGTAGTGGGAGGGAAAAAACAAGTATTTATTTAGTACCTACTATGTACACCAGACACTATTCTAAGTGCTTTACAAATATTACCTCTTTTGATTCTCACAATAATCCTGGTAGATAGGTAGTATTATTATCCCTGTTTTACAATTGAGGAAACTATTGTTTAATTGAAAACATTTCTTTACCAGTACTCATAAAAGTGAAAAAACAAAGGATAACATCACAAACCCATGGCTACTTCCAGAGCTAGATAGCCCTTAGCCAATCTGTAGGCATTCCCCAAACCCAGGAATTCCAGGAACATAGTTAAGGTGCTAAGACTGAGACCTTATCAGCCACTCATACAGGGAGCTAAGAAGTTCTTACAATATTATTCCACTCATGTCCTCCCAGAGATTCAATATTCATTGATTAAGGTAATTTGGGACTCAAAATACTGATTACTTTTCTGGCCAATTTTTCCTGCTTGCTTGTTGCTGGTCTTCTTCATTGGTCAGGTAAAGGGCAATCCCAGATATAGAAACTCCCACAATACCTTCAATTCTTCTGTCCTTAAATTTTCCATGTCTTTCTACTGCATCCTACATCACTTCTTTCTCTGTCTCTTTTCGTATCCTTCTCCTGCAGTTCTTCTTACAGTACATCCCTGAACAAGGAACTCATATTTAGAGCATCAATGACTTAGTGTTCCAATCAGTTTAAAAACTATACAATTTTCCCTTACGTGGCCCCAAATCTCTTTTGGGGAATGGTATTATTCTCAACTTCCTTGTTTTACTTTGCTCATTCTGAGCTTTGGTACTTTTACATTATCACTGTAGGACCCACCTACACTCTTGAATTCATCATCCATTGCCTGCCTTACATGCAAATGTCTTTTCAAAAATATTTAATTTAGTTGAAGAGTGTCTGGTATATTCATATTGGGATGGTTAAAAAAATTTCCCTCTTTCTGTTCATAGGAGATGTCTCTTTCTGACTTCAGAATTTTGTTCTTAAGGGTTTCTCATCCCTCCTGGGTTGACTTTCCTTGCATAATTTTAGATCATGGGACCTCACTTAGCCTTTCTCTGAACCCTTTGAAATTTTATGTCTCACCATCCACACATCAGACCATTTCCAGTTTTCCTGTTTTTCAATATCACAGATTTTAAAATGGAGTGGTCTTCTCCACTCTTCCAAGGTTTCCATTATCTTCACCCCAGCAACCAGTTCCTCCTTGTTGAGGAAAATCATACCTAGAGGAGCAGTGCCCCTCATTGGTTCTACACCTTTTGAAGGCTGAAGCTATCATCAAAGCAAGGCAAGAAGTTATATTCAGAAATGATATTTCATAGTAGACCATATCTTGACAATCACACAAGTGATTGAAAGAGCTAAAGAATACACAATTGGACTATCTATGTTTGTAGACTATAAAGAACAACAACAACAATAACAATAATTAGTTTGATAAAGCAAAATGCTGCCTTAAGGACTGCTATGACAGTTCGTATGTCTCTCATGCCTCAATTTCGTCTTCAGCTCTTGGTCTAGTCCGCAAATGAACAATGGTTTGGGCCAGAATTGAACAGCACAAGGATAGCACACTTTGGGAAATTACATAGTTCTTCTGATGAATGCAAGTTTCCCCCTAAAACAAAGGCTCATCATTTAAACACTAATATCTTTCTGGTATATAGCTTCCAGTCATGGTATTCTATCATCTATAAATGATTGAAGTTTAGGATTACCCAAAAGCCAAGCAAAAGATAGGCACATGATGAGTATGGGCAAGTTGCAATACATTTTAAGAGATGAATTACACAGGAAAGGTGATATAAGAGATCATATTTGAGAAATGTATGACCAGAATAAAGATGGTCAGGTCAAGTAGAAAGGGCAAGGAACAGCTAACTGATGGATAGTTCCTATGATTCATAATATCCACTAAATATGGATAGGTCCCCATCATGCTGAGTGGACCCTCTGTGGCATATTTATGTGAAGACAGATGAGAGCCACTTGAGATGGGGAAGAATAGAAGGGTTGCCACCTGCATTGTTGGAGGAAATATACTGATGAAATCATGGTTGCACTGAAACATTGGAAAGAGTATTTTCCCCAGGGTCAAATATTGGGCTTCACACACACTGAGTAGTTCTTTGAAAGGAAAAATGGGGAGGTAAAAAAAGCTGGTGATTAGTAACTAGAGGACCTAATTTTTAAATCAAACTTTGTTACCTGCTATTGGCCTGATGTTGGGCAAGTCACTCAAATTCTGAGTGTCAGTGTCCTCATCTACAAAATAAACAGATTGTACTGGATGATCTCTTCTAGCTCTGTGTCCTATCATCTGATAATAAATTTTTGTCAAAATTTCAATGGATGAATAAAACCATTAGTGAATAATGATTGACTATAAAGAAGCTCAGCTTTGGTGCAGAGAGCAAAGAATGAAGATGGAGTGTTCATGTGTGTCAGAGCACATGTAGTAGGGGAAACATTGAATTACTGCATGCGCATTTGCAGAAAATGGAAGAGAATGGGATTGTGGAAGGACTACAGGGTTTGTCTTGACTTTCCTTCCCTTGACCATCATTTCAATTTGTATATGTATGTGTATGCATAGGCACATACACTACTACAGGCTCTTAGTTCAGGTGCATGGCTTGATGGCTCTGTTACCTTCATATGGCTTACGCCAGCGTAGGAATGCATCAGATCTCATGCAGTCAAGTACTGCTTATCTGGATCATGTAACTGGGCTCTATTTGTGATTCTTGTTCTGGGCATCTGTATTATGGCCTATATAATAGTGGGACTTCATTGGTATCTATATACTCGGCCTAAGTAAGATTGATGCAACTTTCACTCATTCCAGATTCTTTGAGAACCAGTGGTTCCTCTTGTTATGAGGAAGCTGTCACCTTTCACCTGGCCCCAGTAGGACCTAGCTCTCTAAAAGATAATCCCCTGATTCTTGGCTTTTGCAGGTATTTGGGCAAAACCTCTCAGTGAATCAAAACACCCAACTCATCCTGACCTTCCTGAGCAGCCTAAAGAGCAACAACCAGATCCGGGCCAATCTGGCTTTGGAGCTGTTCAACTGCTTCCTAGAGACCCAAGGACTCGAGACTGAGCAGGTCAGAAGCTTTCCCTTCCAAGAAAAAGCGGAAGGGTGGCGACATGCTACTGCTCTGTAGTGGGAAAGCCGCCCTAAGAGTTCTGGGGGAGGGGAAGCTGGGCAGGGGTAGGGAAGTCTTCCTGAGGTCACTGAAGAGTTGGCCCATATAACCTCGGACTCCCAGAGTTGCATGGAAACTCAAAGGCCAACTAATCTAAGTCACATTCGAAGGGCTTTGAGAGTGGGGATGGAGCTGGACAATTTTTCAGGTGGTTATTGATGATTTATGTTTCTTTTTATCCTTTTCTCTTTGACAACTACTTATTTATGTCATTAACCACTTATCGGTTGAGGTCTCCAGATCATGCCATATGAAGATCAATTGAAGGAAATGAAGATGGTTATCCCGAGGAATAGAATATTTAGGGGGATCATAATAGTTGTCTTCAAGTGTCTAAATAATTATCCTGAGGAAAAGGGCTTAGCCTTGTTCAGCTTGGCCCCAAAAAGCAGAACTCAGAGCAACTGATGGAAGTTGCAGAGGAACCAATTTAGGCATAACGATCCCAGTTTCATGTTATTTGCAAATTTGATAAGATGCTTAGCTATGCTTTTAGCCAAGTCATGAGTGGTTTTGGACAGCACATGGTCAAGATCGGACTTTTTGGGCTCTCTATTGGAGAATTCCTTCCAAATTGACATACATATATATACATACAGGTATGTACATATACATATGTGTGTATATACATGTATGTGTATGAACTTTCCAGTGACTCCCTCCACCCACCCCTAATAAGGCTCTTTCTCAAAATAAAGAAATACAGTTAGGCAAATCAACATATTGTCCTTGTCTGAAAATGTATGCCTTATTTTGTATCTCTCAAAGAAGTAGAAGTAAAGAAGGAGTACATTCTAGGCATAGGGGATCACATGTGTAAAGATAGGAGATGGTTTGTCATGTGACTATTCACCATATCTTGAATATTTTCCCCCCTCACTTCTACCTTGCAGTTTTTTTGGCTTCCTTCAAGACTCAGTTCAAATCCTATCCTCCATAAGCAACCTTTCTTGGTTTCCCAGCTGCTAGTGCCTTCCCTTCTGAGATTACTTTCTATCTATTCTATATATATCTTGTATAGTATACTTATTTATTTTGACATTGTCTTCTCTATTAGAATATGAGCTACTTAAGGTAAGAGACTATTCTGGTCTTTCTTGGCATCCCTAACACTTAGCACAAAGTCTGATACATAGTATATGTTTAAGAAATTCTCCTTGGCTGAGAAACAGCAAGAAAGACTATATGACTAGATTGGAGCCAGGTGGTCATGGACTTTAAATGGCAAAAACAGGAGTTTGTATTTGATCCTAGAGGTAATAGGGAGCCAGTGGCATTTATTGGACAGGCAAATGATATAGTCAGACCTGTACTTTAGGAAATAACACTGGTAGCCATGTGAAGGATGGATTAAAGAAGGAAGAAATGAGGCAAGGAGACACATTAGAAGGCTATTGCAACAGTCCAAATGAGAGATGATGAGAGACAGTGATGGCCATAAGAGTAGAAAGAAATGGACAGATGTGAGAGATATTGTGTAGGTATAATTAACAAGATTTGGCAACTGATTGGATATGTGAGGTAGGTGAGAGAGACTGTAAGGTTTTGAACCTGGGTAACTGAAAATATAGTAGTGTCTGCAATAGAAATAAAGAAGTTAAGAAAAGAAATGGATTTGGAGTAAAGATAACAGTTCAATTTTGAAAATGTTAAGTTTGAAGTGCTTATGGGTCATTCAATTTGAAATGTTCAATAACTAATGGTGATTCAGGACTGGAGCTCCACAGATAAATTAGGCCTAAAACTATAGATCTGGGAGTTATCTGCATAGAGATAATCATTAAATCCATGAAAGCTGAAAAGACCACTAAGCCAGGAAAGGACCAAGGACAGAGCTTTGAGGTATACCCACAGATAAAGGAAGCCATATGAATGATGAATCAGCAAGAAGTCTGAGAAGAAATGGTCAGACAAGTAAGAGAACCAAGAGAGAGCAGTCATAAAAATTCAGAGAGGCAAGAATATCCAGAAGAAACTGGTTAGCCATATTAGATGCTGCAGAGAGATAAAAAAGAATGAGTGTTGAGAAAGGCCAGGAGATTTGACAATTACGAGATCATTGGTCACTTTGGAAAGAGCTCTTTCAACTGAGTGATACAGTCACAAACCAGAATACAAAGGAATTATAGAAGAAGAGGAAGTGGAGAAAAGCAAAGTAGACCGATTGAACTAGGAGCTTGTCTTTGAAAGGTAGAAGAGATACAGAACAATAGCTTGAGGGGATGGAAGAATCAAGCAAGAGGTTTTTTTGCTTGTTTTTAAAGGAGAGGGAACCTGTACCTAGAGAGAGATTAAAGATGAGAGAGTGAGAGACAGAAAAACAAAAACACAGTGAGAGGAACAGAAGGGATATTTTGTGGGAGTAATCTGTCAGAGAATACAGGAAGGGAGAGGACCAAAGGTACCAGCATGACCATTTCACAGAATTGTAGACTCTCCGATCTGGAAGGGCCCTCAGAGGACATATAGTCCACCTCCTACCTAAACCAGAATCCCCTCTACAAAATGCCTCATAAGTGATCATCCAACTTTTACTTGAAAAGCTTCAGTGGTAGGGAATTTATTAGCTCTAAATATGAACTGTTCTACTCCTGAATTAAGCTCAAATTGTCAGGAAGTTCCACCCCCCCACCCCCCCACCCCCCGATTATATCAAGCCGAATTTGTTTACCCATTCTCCACCTGGTGGGCACCCCCTCAATTTCCTGTTCTTTATAGGGCATTAGTGTACCTATTTTCCAATGCTGTCTCTAGCTTTTGTTATTTTCCTTTTCTGTCATCTTAGCCAATCTGTTGAGTGTGAGGTGGTACCTCAGAGTTGTTTTAAATTGTACTTTTCTAATTATTAGAAATTTAGAGCTTTGATTTCTCTAAAAACTCTGAAAACTGCCTGCCGATATCCCTTGACCATTTATCAATTGAAGAAAGACTCTTATTCTTACAAAATTTGATTCAGTTTCATTTATATTTGAGAAATGAGAGCTTTATCAGAGAAACTTGCAGCCAAGATTGTTTCCTCTGGTTTCTTTCTTTTCTCCTAATTTTGGCTACAGTGGCTTTGTTAGTGCAAAACTTTTAAATTTTATGTAATCAAAATTGTCAGTTTACCTCCCATAAACCTCTATATCCCATGTTTGATCATGAACTCTTCTCCTAGCCATAGATCTGACAGGCAATTTCTTCCATGCTCCACTAATTTGCTTATGATATCACTCTTTATGTCTAAATCATGTACCTTATATTTGTATATAGTGTGAGATGTTGGCCTTTGCCTAGTTTCTGTCATATTGCTTTCCAGTTTTCCCAGTAGTTTTTGTCAAATAGCGAGTTTTTGTCCCAATAACTGGGACCTTCGGGCTTATCAAACCTAGGTTATTGTATTTTGCTTCTATATATTGTGTACCTAATCTGTTCCATTGATCAAGATCTTTATTTCTTATCCAGTGTCAAATTGTTTTGAATGATTATGGCTTTGTAGAGTAGTTTGAAATCTTGTTCTACTAGGTCCACTTCCTTCACAACTTTTTTTCATTGACTCCTTTGGCATTTTTAACCTTCTGTGCCTCATCTTCCAGATAGGTTTTGCTATTATTTGTTCTAGTTCTGGATTGGTATGGTGTTGAATAAGTAAATTAATTTAGGTAGTGTTGTTATTTTTATTATTTTAACTTGACCTATCCATGAGCAATTAATATTTCTCTATTTCAATCCATATTTGTGTGAAGAGTGTTTTGTAATTGTGTTTACATAGTTCTTATATGTGTCTTGGTAGGTATATTCCCAAGTATGTTGTACTGTCTGTAGTTATTTTAAATAGAATTCTTCAACTTGGCTGAGCGAAGATTGTGGAGTAAAAGCAGTAACCCCTCCAAATACCTGTAAAAATGTCTCTAAACAAATTCTAGAGCAGCAGAACCCACAAAAAGACAGAGTGAAACAAATGTGTAGCCCAACACGACCTGGACGATTGATGGGAAAGATCTATTGTGCCAGGCTGGGAGAGGAGCACAATTCAGTGTGGGCACAAAAGCAAAGACCAGGCCTCAGCAAACCTGGAGTAGCCTGAGGGGACTGAATCATGGACAGCTCTGGCAGTTTCCAGACTTCTCAACCCACAAACACCAAAGACAACTTAAAAGGTCAGTAGGAAAAGTCTGTCAGACCATGGTGAGAGAGAAACTTGGTCCCAGCCGCAGTCTTGGTGCAGTGCTGGAGTGGTGGCTGCTTCCTGAGCTCTCGACCCACATGGAGGGGGAACCGGGTGGCTGATCAGAGGGGGGTTACAAGGATCTCTTTGCTGGTGCTGAAGCAGGATTCTACTGCTTTGTCTGTTCTTGAATCTGTGTCAAAGTTCTGTGTGGTGGTCCTGGTGTGATGAGGAGTGCTGGTGTGAAGGAATCCTTCTCACAGTTTCAAGGCAGAAAAGAGTGCTTGTGGTCACTCATAGATAAGAGCCCAGGCCAGGAAAGGAGTAAACACCTCATCCTTGATCACACCAACTTGGAAGAACTGAAACTTTACAGGTCCCTAGAAGTATCTCTGAAAACAGCTGCACAAAACCCCTGAAGCTTGGGACAGTACGTTCTTCACACTGAAAGAAGACCCCTACCTTAACAAAGAGTTTAAAACTCAAGTAATTGGCTGGGAACATGAGCAAACAGTGCAAAAAAAGTCAGATCATAGAATCTTTCTTTGGTGACAAAGAAGATCAAAACATACAACCAGAAGAAGACAACAAAATCAAAACTCCTACATCCAAAGCCTCTAAGAAAAATATGAATCAGTCCCAGGCCATGGAAGAGCTCAAAAAGGATTTTGAGAAGCAAGTAAGAGAAGCAGAGAAAAAAAACTGGGAAGAGAAATGAGAGTGATGCAAGAAAATCATGAAAAACAAGTCA